CTATGGGGGGGGTCTTACTCGGGAGAGATATCTGCGAAGTGTCGTCAAACTTTTCAAGGTTGTCGTGATGTTATATGGACTGCAGATCCTTTGTATTTTCTCTGATAACCCTTTCACATAAGGGAAGCAGACTGTTTTCCGAGTGTTGTCGTCCTCCTCTTGTTCCCGCCTATTTAATTTTTGGAGGCTGCTGCCATGTACCCAGGGTAGTTGTTACGTTGTAGGATACTGAACAATTCTTTATCTAATATCTCTGGGTCGCTACTTATGATTTTGCTCGGTGTTGTAAGCATCGGAAGATCCCTTTCTTTTCGCTGTATGGATGGTGGGAGTTGAAATTGAGGTACTGTCCAGTGAATGTCGGTTTACGGTATACGGATATCTTGAATCCATGCTCTGTTGGAGATATTAGAACATCCAGGAACGGGAGTGTGTTGTTAGTTTCTTTCTCCATTGTGAACTGTATCGAAGGTCTTATTGAGTTCACATAGTCCAGTAGAACCTGAACATCTTCCTGGTGTGGCCAGAGTATGAAGGTGTCATCTACGTACCTTAACCATATAGATGGCTTTAGAGATATGGATTCCAATGCCATTTCCTCAAAGTATTCCATGTATATATTCGCCATTGCTGGTGATAATGGTGAGCCCATTGCTAAGCCCTCATCCTGTCGATATAATGTGATCCCATTCCGAATAATGTTGTTTGTGTACAGAAAGTCAACATCTCCATCAGATTATCTATTGGAATACTAAATCTGTTCTTTATTTTTAGAGTCAGAATGGACAAAATTATAGATATATTTTATGACTTTTTTTTCTCGTTTTGTTACCTTGGTGATAAATTTACCACGTCCAAATTTTCACCATCTGGTTGGATACAATGGGAGCATCTTTAAATATTTATTATATATAAGTTTAGGGTGAAAATATGAAGGAAATAAAATTTAATCAAAAGTTAAAATATATTTACAAGGAAAAACTCAGATGTTTTTTGAAAATAAAAAAAACAAATGGTCAAGTGAAAAAACTTAAATGTGAAAATTTCTTTAGTTTGTATATTTCAAATAATGTTTTTTTCAAAACAAATTTATTTATAAATATTATACAAAAATTATTTAAATTTAAATCCTTATAATTGCAATTGAATATATATATATAAATCATATATATTTCATTATATCTATGGATCTTTTTAAGATTTTGAAAATTATTAATTATAAAAATAAAACATTTAAAAAATATATTCATATATAAATTATAAAAATATATATTTAAATATATATAACTATGTTAATATATTTTTATTTATATATTTATATAAATATATTTTTAAATAAAAGAATGGTTAAAAAAATAAAAAAAAATATTAAAAAAAATCAATAAAAGAAAATAATTATAAAAAAATTTTTAAAAATAGAAAAACTTTTTCAAAAATCAAAATTACTTCAAATGATTATTGCAAAGATTTAATATATATTGAAACAAAAAATTGAAACCTTGTAATTTTTTGAAAAAATATTAAAATTTAATTTCTTATTTTCAAAAATATAATATATTATATATAAATTGATTAAAAAAGATATAAAAATAAATATAAATAAATATATAAAATATTTAAATATAAAAAGAGACCTGAAGTTCTCTTATTTTATAAATATTAAGAATTTAAACATTTTATATTTTTTTACAAATTGTGAAAAAATTTTGAATAAATATTTATATATTTTATATTCAATATATTTATTAATAATTTATTTATATGATGTTTATTTTTTAATATATATAAAAAAATTTAAAAATATGATTTATTCAAAGGAATTTTCAAAAATTAAAATAAATGCCAAAAATGAAATGAATTATTTAAAATTTTAATTTTGCATAAAAATTATATAAAACATTAAATATTTATAATGATTTTTGAAAAATTTTTCCTCCAATTTTTTAATTCAAAATTTTTCACTTTAAATACATTTTTAATTTTTTGCAATATTTTCATTGAAAAAATTTTTAAATCTAGATATTTAACATATATTTTGGGCTTATTTAATATTTTAAATAAATTGTTTTTAATAATTTTGACAAATGACAATAAAATTAAAAAATTATTTTTAATAAAATAAAAATATTTTATGAAAATTAAATTTTTTTCATTATGTATTTTTTCATTAAAATTTAATTAAATTTTTAAATAAATATAATTAATAAATACTAAAGTTTTCAATTTTTATAATAAAAAATTAAAAAATGTTTAAATTATTTAAATATTAATTAAAATATGTTTTTGTAGAAAAATAAAATCATTCATCAGAAGATGTTTTTAAATAATTAAAAAAAAAAAACAAAAACAAAAAAATATAAATTTTGACAAAAATTGTCCAAATTAAAAAATAAAATAAATTTTTAAAACTTGACAATTATTTTTTAAAATTTTATAAAAAAAAAATTTTTTTTTTTCAAAAAGTTTTATTGAATTAAAAAAAAAATTTAAAAAATTGTTACAATATTTATTTTAATCAATTTATTTTTGGAAAGTTTTATTATTTTTATTAAAATAAAATTTTTGAAAAAAAATTAGAAAAATGAAAATTCCTTTTCAAATTTATCATAATTTTATTTTTAAAATTTTGCATTTTTCCATCAAAAATAAAAATAAAAAAAAATCAATTATTTTGATTTAAATTTTAGATGAATTTTATTTATTTAAAAGATTGAAAATTTAAAATTTTTTCTGTTTATGTTTTCCAATAAATAAAAAAATTCAAAAGTAAAAAATCTGATTTTGTATTTTACATCATTATTTAAAATAAAAAAAATTTGTTTATATAAGATTTTTTGTTTTATTTGTTAAATTAGTTTTAGAAAAATTAAAAATATTTTATTGTATTATTTTTAAAAATATTAAAAGATAATTCAATTTTTTAGAACCATTTTATTAATATTAAAAAATCTAAAAATAAAAAAAAATTTCAAATTTTAAACAAAAAAAATTTAAAAAAAATTATTTAAAATAATAAGAATTAGGATATTAAAATATATTTTTAAAATTTTTCTTTTTTTTTGTTAAAATAAATTTTTTTTATTTTTATATTTTTTTAAAAAATATTGAAAGTAGAAAAAAGAAAAAAAAAAAAAAACAAAAAAAAAGAAAGGAAAAAAAAAAATCAATTTATGATATTTTTAAAAAAATTTTTTTTGTAAATTTAATCAACATATATTAAATATATATATATATATATAAAAAATATTATATAATATCATTGAAAATTTTTATAATTATGAAAGATTTTGTTTCATTTATATATATGAAAAGAAAATACAAAATAAAATAAAAAAAATATATTTATAAAATATATATTTAAATATATAAAATGTCATTATAATTAAAATTTTTACTTAATTTAAATTTAAGAAAGGAAAATAATATTTTTAACAGAATAACGTTTTGAAAAAATAATAAGAATTTTGGAGGCATTTATTTGGTATGAATTTATTAAAAGAAAAATAAACTAATGCCAAACAATAATTGACAAAAAAATTAATCTTTTAAAAACTGGAAAAATAAAAAAAAAATTTGCATTAAATTATATAATTTTCCTTTAAAAAAATTTTTTAAAAATTCCCAAAAGTTTTATGATATAAATAGATATAATTTGAGAAAAACCATTATATTTCAAATAGAACTAGAAAATTTAAACCATTCATTTATTTTTACATTAAAACAATTAATCATAAAGCATTTTGTAAAACAATATAATTTCAATAATTAAAATCCATATAAAATTTTAAATGAATTTTTTTATATCAGCAAAATCCATTTTAAGATATCCAGAAAATTTTTTCATAAAGAAATTATTTGAATAATATTTGTTTCTAAAATACAAATATTAGTAATTATCCAATAGCTGGGGAGAGATTATATCAAGAAATATTTTTTAAATTATTCATTTAAATACGATAAAACTGATTATTTTTCATACTACAAATTGAATTTAAAATCATTGAAATTACTAATCATTATCCATGTATCTATTATGAAAAATAATTGAAAATCCATGTTAAAAGCAGTTATAGAATCTTTTTAATTTTTTTAAATGAGTTCTAAAAATCAGCTGATTAATAATATCGAATTTTTTAAATGTGATTTCATAAATATAATATTTATTTTTTGGATCCCATATAAATAGAATATATATATTTTAACAATAAATAAATTGTAATATCAATAAATCACAATATTTGTGACCATTTTTGAAATCCATTTTTTTTCTGCAAATGAATAGATGGTTAAAATTTTGATTCATATCTTTTAAAAATTAAGGGAAAAATAAAAATTACTTTAAGGTAATGATTTTAAACATTTTTCAGATTTTTTATTTATTCATCAAATTTTAAAAATAAAACTTTCTCATAATTGGACATAAAATTGATTAATATTAATTCGAAAATTTTCAAATCTCAATCTTAATTGTTATATAAATAAATTCTTTTCTTTTTTGTTCAATATATATTATATATCATTTTAATATAATATATATATATCATATATATATCTATATATATATATATCTATATAAAAATTATATAAAATTTTTTTATTATATATCTGTCATTTATAATGAATTTATAATAAAATATATTATTTTATTAAAATAAAAAATCTATCTATCTATCTATCTATCTAGAAAATCTATCTATCTATTATCTATCTATCTATAAATTATATATATATATATATATATATATATATATATATATATATATATATATATATATATTCATATTTATATTTTTTCACATCTTTTATCCATTGAAATTCAATTTGTTTATCTATCTATCTGAGAATATCTTTCTTTCTAGAAATCATATCTATCTATTTAAAAATCTATCTCTTGAAATCTTTTTTTTTTTTTTTTTTTTTATCTATATCTATATATATTATCTATTATCTATCTATTTATTTCAATTTTCTTTCTTTCTTATTTATTCTTATTATCTCAGTGTTGTTCTATATATCTATCTATATATATCTATCTATCTATCTATCTATCTATCTATATATGATATCTATCTTTCTTTCTTTCTCATTTTTCTATCTATATCTATATCTATCTATCTATCTATTCATCTATCTATCTATCATATATATATCTCAGTTATTTTCTATTTATTTCGTTTCTTTCTTCAGTGTTTCTATCTATCTATCTATTATCTATCTATCTATATATCTCTAATCTATCTATCTATCTATCTCAGTCTCTTTCTTTTTTTTCTTTGAATCCAGTTTTCTATCTATCTATCTATCTATTTATTATCTATCATCCATCCATCATCTATTTATCTAGAAATTCATCTATCTATCTATCTATCTATAATATCTATCTATTCGTCCATGCTCAGAATATCCCAGTCGCATATGGTCCAATGCCCTTGCAATTTATCTTGGGCACTTTGATACCATGCAAAAAAGAATCTGCAATATTATTGGTCCTGATCTGACAGCTAAGCTCCAGTCACTTTCAAACCGCTGTAAGGTTGCCTCTCTATGTCTTTTCTGTAAATACTTTCATCGCAATTGTTCGGATGAGCCCTTTGCTATGGTACAGAGATTTTTTAATTTAATTTCAGTACTAGACTGGCGTTGAGGTCTCACCAATTTACAGTTGAGCTGGCTAGATGTAGCTGCAAGTTCTATGCTAACAATTTCTTTTCTCGCACTTCTCACTTGTGGCACTCCCTTCCTGTTCCATGCTTTCCAGCCAACTTTGATCCGCAAAATTTAAATACAATATCAACCACCATCTACTGTCCTTCTGATTACTCTTTTCTCTTCCCCCTCATTATTAATGTTTCAGTTTCTAATTCTTCCACGCCTTGTAAACACCCTTGTACCTTAGTGGGTTTAACGGCTTGCATGGGGTGATAGCAATTAATGCAAACATTTAGTTGCACTGGTAAACAACGTGACAAACCGAATGAAATGCAGCCAGCGGGAATGAAATGCAACTGAAACGTCAGTAACACGATGTGGATCATGCTCAAATTGAAAATTTCCTTTAGTTGATTAATTCGGAAGAGCAATTAATCAAATAATTTAGTATAAAATTTATCGAACTCTCCTATCATTTCATTCATTCTACCCGGGGTGGAAAGTGAGCAATTTGGAAATGGAATTATCTTCATGCATTTAAAGGGAATCGGTGGATTCAGGGTGTTTACTTTAAGATATTCATCAAAATTAGCGCCATTTGTTATAATTTCGACGAACAGTGTTTCATTCTCTTTGTCGGTTTAATTAACAACACAATTGTTTTTCTCAAGACAAACAACGTTTGTACAAAGACCTGTATTTTTAGAAATAGTTTGTTATACTTATATATAGTTTTTAAGCATAACTTGAAGAAAGAAGACATCCTATCGAAATATTGTTAAACATTGTCTTTTCTCTTTGATTTCTCTTGAATCACTCTCTTTTATAAGTGTTACTAGTACCACTACCAATAATAATAATAATAATGCTTTAAATCTTTAGGAATCTTTTACAAGAACTAATGAATAATAATAAATACATTGGCTAATTAACCAAGCAATATCGGGTTATGAGACACGTAGTCTCGAATGCGACGTAATATAGTCGGTTCTCCTTGAGTAGTGTTGTGGCAGAAGTTGTTTAAATTACCGTCCGGTCGCGGACATCCCAACTTTAGCGGCGGATGGATATCAGTTGAAAAATGGCTTCAGTGATTCTCGTGGGAGATGATTGGGGCGGGCGGGCCTGGGATTAGCGGGTTGGAAGGACATCGATTTTCGATCAGGATTCGTTAATTTATTTTCTAGGAGAACAATTTATATGTTGAACACAATCAAAACTCATAAGGTGATCTCGGGGCGATTGAATTTCCGGGTTGATGGTCACTGAAGAATGAGTGGGAGGAGAAGACGCGAGTGAGAGGGTGAGTAAGAGAAATGATGAGAAAGATAGAGTAACAGGCAGACAGATGTAGATTTAGTGAATGAGAGAGTGAGAGAGAGAGAGAGAGAGAAGAGAGAGAGGTGAGAAAAAAATGTTTGCAATGAGTGTAAAGGAGAAAAAAATACATATATATATATATATATATATATATATATATATATAGAGAGATAGAGAGAGAGAGAGAGAGAGAAGAGAGTCAGAAAAATGTTCGCAAAGAGTGCACTGGAGAAAGAAAGACATATATATATATATATATATATATATATATATATATATATATATATATATAAAGTTATATATATATATATATATATATATATATATATATATATATATATATGTATATATATGTAGTGTGTATGTGTGTAAATATTCTCAGATGCAGTGTATCTCTAGATAAAAATAAAGAGGCAAGAGGAAAAATTGGCTAAGTATAATCTTTCGTCTTGTCTCTATTCATATATATATATATATATATATATATATATATATATTTATATATATATAATGCATACAAGTATATATATATATATATATATATACTATTTACATCGTTCAGACTGTTGTCATCATCTTTATTGCAATATTCACGACGAAGAACAACTGAAGAAGGCTGAAGCGGCGTACAGCGGTCGAAACGTGGTGAATATGGTGGAATAATAGCGACAAATTTCTGAATTAGTTTTTTATGTTATCGGTAATTTTGCCAAAGTTCATTATTTTTTATTTTATATTATTTTTTTCCGATGGCTATCGAACCTTCCGGCATTCATGTTTTGTGTATGTTTACATGTTTTGGTTTAATTCAGCGTTTTCATATTTCACACACACACACACACACACACACACACACACACAACACACACACACATATATATATATATATATATATATATATATATATATATCCCATTTGACTTTTTTATCCACATTTCTCTTATCATCAGAATTATTTTAAGAAATTTAACAGTATTATCGACGTGGGAAACAAAAACAAAAACTTACTATCAAAAGTTATCAATCTCCAAAATGAGGCTTATACAGGAGCGTCTTTAAAAAAATTTTTAAATCTGATATAACTACACAAAATTTCGCTTTTATTTATCATCACTTGCCTTGATAAATTCGAATGACGTAACGCGTTGGCAAGGACTAAGAACTATTTTCAAATTGTCTTTTTTATCAATTTGTGTTACCTTCAGAATTATTCTTTTAAATTTAACAATATATATATATATATATATATATATATATATATATATATATATATATATATAAATGACAATAGGAAAACTAATATTTATATTATAAAATAATATTTATATTATAATAATATTTATATTATAATAATAAATATTGTCTTCTCTACTGGTTAAATCGGAGAAATTTTCATATATATATATAATTTTAGGATATTAAAACAAAAAACATGATAAAAATCGCTACCCAATTACAATCACGTTTCAACACTACAAATGTGTCTACTCGGGTGATGTTAACATATTTTTGTTTTAATATCCTAAAACAATTAATATTTAGCTCTACTCTGTATTGAGCCCTCTTTTAAATTAAATGTTACGGACAGTGGAATTATACTCCATTTGTTCTTTTACCTGGACACACACACAACACACAAATAATATATATATATATATATATATATATATATATATATATAGATACATATAAAAACATATATATATATAATCAATAAACACTAAACACGAAAAATCACAAATCACCCCATATAAGGAATAGCCTATTTCTTATCAACCCCAGTGTGGACTGAGTCCATGTCAGAAATATAAATTTAAAAAACAACCAAAAACAAAAAACAGTCGAAAAACTAATACAGAATTTATCTATTATAATGTTTCAGTCAGACGAAAGGCACGAGTTAGGGGTCAGGGAAGGGTGGAAGGTATTTGTCTAAAAGGGAAGAGGTTTTATAAAATTAAACCCGAATATTAACCTTATGACATTGATTTGGGGTTATATGAAAAATGAAATATTAATTCAAAACTAAAAGAGGAATAAAACGGGCCTTAAAATAACTTTTAAATAAATAGAAAAAAGGATGTAAGGATTTGTTACCTTTACTATATATATATATATATATATATATACATAGTAATCGTCATATTTAATGGATACACATGACTGAGAAGTCATCTCTGTTCTTAAGCTGTCTAAACTGGCGTCCCTCGTCTTGTGCACGGTTCAAAGGTACGCCTTTCTTATATCGGGGAAAACACCGTATAATGTGGAGTGGTCCTTCCATTAAAACTTTCTATTACAAAGTAATTTTCGACGAAGCAATATGAGCTATGCTTATGTAAGAATGAATATATATATATATATATATATATATATATATATATAATATGTAACAAATCCGTTGGTATATAATCCAAGTGGATCCTAGTAATATAAATTATTAAAACTGATTCACAAAAAGAGCTCAATGTATTTATTAATACAGAGCAAATAATTAATAAAAAAAATTCAAAATCACCTCATATGGGGAATAAACTATTTCGGCAGACGAAGATATCGATCGTCTGTCTTATCAAACCCGGTGTGGACTGAGTTCGTGTCAGAAATAGAAATTTAACTGTGAAAGCTAAAAAAAAAAAACAAACAAAAAAAAAAAAACGCGAATATGAACCTTATATCATTAATTTGGGGTTATATTTAAAATTAAAAGAGGAATAAAAAGGGGCTTAAAAATAAATAATATATAGATAAAACACGTATAAAGCATACAAAAATAACTTTAAAATATATAGATAAAACACATAAAGCATATAAAAATAATTTTAAAATATATAGATAAAACACAGACACGCACACACGCATATGTGTGTGTGTGTGTGTGTGTGTGTGTGTGTGTGTGTGTGTGTGTGTGTGTGTGTGTGTGTGTATCATGGTTAAGGCATCGGAAGTAAACAACGACGATAAAATCTGGAAGGAGAGTAAGAAAGGCTGTCCGATTTTGTATCCAACCTGGTCCTAACACCTCCTGGGA